AAGCAGCATCATAGGAGCAGATGCTGCTTGGCCTGCTGTGTTCATCCAGCCCTGCACCTTGTTCTCTCTTGAGATGGGTAAAACACTAGTTGGCAGATAGGAAACACAAGAGTAGGAATGGGTTAGGGTTAGGGTTAGCGTTATGATGAAACCTTTCTGAAGAAGGGTCTAGGCCCGAAAACGTAGCCTTCCTGCTCCTCTGATGCTGCTTGGCCTGCTGTGTTCATCCAGCTCTACACCTTGTTATCTATAGTAGGAATTAATCGGTCCTTTTCAAATTGGCAGACAGTAACTAGTGGGGTGCCACAGGAATCAGTGCTGGGATCCCAGCTATTCACAATATATATTAATGATTTGGATGAGGGAACAAAATGTAATATCTCAAAGTTTGTAGATGATACCAAGTTAGTTAGGAGAGTGAACTGTGACAAGGAAGCAGAGAGCCTTCAGCATAATCTGGGCAGGTTGGGTGACTGGGCAAATCAATGACAGATGCAGTAATAATTTGGATAAATGTGAGGGTATTCACTTTGGAAGCAAAGACAAAGCAGCAGATTATGACCTGAATAGCTGTAATTTGGGAGAGGGGAGTATGCAGTGGGACCTGGGTGCCCTTGTGCATCAGTCGCTGAAGGTACGCATGCAGGTGCAGCAGGCGATAAAGAAGGCTAATGGTATGTTGGCCTTCACTGTGAGACGTTTTGAGTATAGGAGCAGGGATGCGTTGTTGCAGTTATACAGGGCTTTGGTGAGGCCACACCTAGAATATTGTGTCTCCTTTTCTGAGGAAGAATACTCTTGCTCTCGAGGGAGTGCAGCAAAGGTTTACCAGGCTGATTCTGGGGATGGCGGGTCTGACATATGAGAAGAGATTGATGAGGTTTAGGACTGTTTTTGCTGGAGTTAAGACAAATGAGGGGGATCTCATACAGACTTAAAAAATTCTAATCGTAGATGCAGAGAGGACGTTCCTGATGGGGGGTGTGTCCAAAACCAGGGATCACAGTCTGAGGATTTGGGGTAGATCATTGAGGGCAGAGATAAGAAGACATTTCTTCATCCAAAGAATGGTGAGCCTGTGGAATTCGAAAGTAATCGATGCCAAAACATTGAATGTATTCAAGGGGTGGCTAGATATAGCACTTGGGACAAATGAGATCAAAGGTGAGCCATGATTGTGATGAATGGTGGAGCAGGCTTGAAGGGCCGAATGGTCTCCTCCTGCTTCTATCTTCTGTTTCTGTTTTCTACATAAATGCATGGTGCCAGCAATGAAGGATGGAATTCATCCATTTCCTTATTTACTTTAAAAACATATTTTTTAAAATGCATATTAATAGGATGACAATGAGAGAAAAAAAAATCTGGGATATAACCACAAGGAGAAAAGGAGTGCTTGCAAATTTGTCTGCGGTTGCCACTGCAGCAGTGGTGGTAATAGTTTGGATACAATTAATGGTTCACTATTTTCATGACGCCTGTGAATTCTATGCCACGGTTGAGGCCAAAACACAAGAAGGAGTTGGATAGCTCTTAAAGCAAAACGGATCAAAGGATATGGGTAAAAGCAGGAACAGGGTACTGAGCTGAATGATCAAACTGAATGGCGAAGCAGGCTCAAAGGGTTTAATGGCTAACTCCTGCTCCTATTATCTATGCTTCTATGTTTGTTTCTATGTTTCATTGTGGAGAAAGAGAGGAAAGTTAGATCGGGAAACACATACACACCTACTTGCTTACTAATTATGCCAAACTAATCTCACCTAGTCCTACTCTATTTTATCCTCAAATCGCCTAGAAGAACAGAATTTGGACCCATTCAGATATCAATGCCAGAATTAACACCAGCAACTGCAATAAAATCACTAGTTCCTTATTGTGAAGTCATCATTCTCACTCTGGTTGCCCTCCAATAACAGGCAACTTAACAAGAACAGGCAAATATAACCCGAAACAAAGTGTTAGCGGAAGCAGCTCAACCGGTGCTTCAGACTGTAAACTTTGAATCCACCTTTGGTGCAGTCAGGAAGGGTTGACTAAACTATTTTCCACATTCAAAGGAAGCACAGCACAGTAACTAACAACACAGACTCAAATAGTTGCATAGATATATAGCCTTATAGCCTGAACACCTAATCTTTATCACCACATTCTTTCTATTCTTCTGAAGTTTGGGTATGAGGTGTAGTACTAATGAACCCAGCACCACATCCAAGTCACCAGTAACCAAATGGGGTTCTGGAAGCTGCTGAGGAGCAAGGTATGCAATGTGGGGATGGAAGGATGTCACAGCTTGATTCTATGATCAGCAGATGTCCACTTCATAGCAGACACCACAGATGCTTTCCTCTAGATGCTGCCTGGCCTGCTGTGTTCTTCTAACTTCCTGTTTGTCTACCTTGGATTCTGGCATCTGCAGATTTTTTATCTCATAGAAAAGAGAATTACTGGGTGTGGTATATTTACATAACAAGATAGAGAACTCTGGATCACCATGCATTCTATTGAACCAGAGCTGTACACATGACAGCAGTCCACATTCAAAGTTTACAAGAGACAAAGTTGACTGTAAACAAGCTTCAGTACAAGTCTTATGACTGTCTCTCATATCACCTTTCCACTGGAAGAAAAATGCTCTTATTTTTCTCATACAATATACAACTCATGAGAACAACCGAGAGGTACCTTTCTATAAAACTACTCAGCACTTAAGACGGAGGTAGTAGCAACTGCCGATGCTGGAGAATCTGAGATAACAAGGTGTAGAGCTGGATGAACACAGCAGGCCAAGCAGCAAAGGAGCAGGAAAGCGAACGTTTCGGGTCATTTCTGAAGAAGGGTCTAAAACGAAACGTCAGCTTTCCTGGTCCTCTGATGCTGCTTGGCCTGCTGTGTTCATCCAGCTCTACACCTTGTTATCTCACCACTTAAGACGCCAACTTCTCCTTCTCCGGAACGGAAGCTCAGTGGCTAGAGCTGCTGCCTCACAGCATCAGGGACCTGGGTTTAATTCCACCCTCAGGCGACTGTCTATGTGGAGTTTGCACATTCTCCCCGTGTCTGCATGGGTTTCCACAGGTGCTCCAGTTTTCTCCCACAGTCCAAAGATGCACAGGTTAGGTGGATTGGTCATGCTAAATTACCTGTAGTGTTCAGGGATGCGTAGATTAGGTGTGTCAGCCATTGGAAATGCAGGGTTACAGGGATAGGGTAGAGGGATGGGTCTGGGTGGGATCCTCTTCTGAGGGTTGGTGGGGACTTGTTGGGCGAAATGGCCTGTTTTCACACTGTACAGATTGTATTCTCCCCTCACCTAATAACTGAGCCTCCAGTCTGCTTTTTCAGGAAACAGAAGCACAGACAGACATCTGACAAAACAAAGGTCGCAGGTCTTAACTTTGAAAAACTGTAAACCAGGTGTTAATTAACAATTTACCTTGAGTAGCCAAGTCAGTACAGAATCTCTGTAGGGAACAAACTTGTTCTTGTTTTTACCAGCAGCCTGATCTGCCAAAGCAGAAATTACTAGGCCTAGTGTTGTTAAAGACCTGGGGAGGGAAAATTTGAGATAAAGAAACACTACATTAGCAAGAAAATGTACTTTCTTCCACTCTCAACCACAAGTCCAATAATTGTGAGGACCATCCAATAATGTTTTTCATTTTCATTTTTTCTATTAATTCATGGATAACAGCATCAACAGCAAGGCAAGCATTTACTGCCATCCCTTACTGCCCTGGAACTGAGTGGCTTGCTCGGCCTTTTCTGAGGGTAGTTATGAGACAACCACACTTCTGTGATCTGGAGTCACATGTAGGCCAAACGAGACAAGAACAGGTTTTCCTTCCTTAAAGGACATTAACAAACCAAATGGATTTTTATGATAACTGATAGTGTTCCATAGTTGCCATTAGGCTAGCTTTTAATCCAGATTTTTATTGAATTTGAATTTCATCATTTGCCATGTTGGAATTCAAACCTATGTCTCTGGAATATGGGAGGCTGGAGTCCTGGAATGCTAATCCAGTGACATTGCCACAATTTAGTTCAGTTCATACATTCATATTCAACATACAAATGAGGTTCCACAAAAATGCAAAGTTGTCACTGCTTAAGGGACAACTTTTTCCATACTAATTCAAATTTACAATGCAAATTAGAATTTACTCCTGAAGATACAGGTAGTAAAAAGGAATTTTTAACTTTTCAAAAACAAACATGAGAAAAGATTAACAAGATCAGAGAGGCTTTAAAATCTTTCACAATAGTAGATGCCTCCCATTAGGTAGAAAGCTTTGTGGCATTAAGATTTGCTCCAACACCGATTTAAAAATAACAGAGAAATTCAGCTAATAATAAAGATAGGAATTAGTAATTTGGACAACAAAACAATTGGCAACTTGAAATTGTCAGCTCAAGATAAACAGGTAGATAGAGATAAAACTAAACAAGAACCTGCTGGAAACTATAATGCAATAATCATACGGATTTCAAATTCCCAGCAATCAAGTAACCAAGCCAAGGACTCTAAGAGTTGTTTAAATACAAGCAACTTCAGAGTACTAGGAAAGGTAATGCAGTAGATTCAGTAAATATCAGCCTGCCAGATCTGACTTGGAACCTCAAGTACATGGAAGTTTTTATTGAATCTTTTTGAATGACCAAAAAGGTTGAGAGAGGAGTACATAGAGCGTTAGTTACACATCTTACACAAAGTCTAGGATCCTTTTTAAAGGGTTGCAAAAATGAATATGTTCCTTTCAACATTACAAGGAAAGAAAAAGTGGCATTGTCGCAAAACATACAGCAAAGATGAACAGGGACTGCCTCAACAATAGTCACAATGACAATGGGACTTGTATTTAGATGATGGCTTATTCGTCTAAATTGGAGTTGAATGAGTTAAAGGCTAGTAATCCTCTATGATTTTAGAATGTCATTTTTTATAAGCACCTTATTTTTAAGTAACTGCAGCTCGAACATTTCATCTCAGCAATCATGTAAACTCACTTGTTAATGTTGCTTCCTTCCTTTAATCGATCTCCAGCAGCTCCAGACTTTGCTGCCCTCTCACTACCTGCCAGGTCCACAAGGCTCAGTTTACTCACCTTCTCACCTGAAGTCTACATAGAAAGAAAATATTGGAATTAGCTCACATCTGGCTCCATAGAAATCTCAAAAATTAATTGCTCTCCTAATCCATTTTTCCTTCCCAAGATGGCTCTAGATATAAAACCGGGAATTCCACAAGAACACGGGAAATAGGAGCAGATTTAGGTCATAAGGTCCGTCGAGGCTGTTCCACCATTTAATATCACCATGGCCGATCTAGGGCTTCAACTCCGCTTTCCTGCCCACAATCTATGTCCTTCCATTCGCTAAACAGCAAATACCTACTTATCCCAATGATGAAAGCTATCAATGATGGAAAATCCACAACAGTCTAGGGCATAGAACTCCAAAGATTCACAACCTTTTAAATGAGGAAATTCTTTATCTCAGTTCTAAATGATCGGCCCCCTACCCTATGACTGTGCCTCTGTGCTATATTCCTTATCAGACCTTCACAGACCCAGAAATTTTCTTTTCCAACATCTAACTATCTCTTTACCTGTGTGGCACTTTGACGTGAATACAACATTATGCTTGCCGTAACTCCATACAACACCTCCTCGGATCTTTTTGAAATTGCAAATAAACCACACCCCACTTTTTCTATCCTCCACTCCTGCTTCAAAGAAGACTATAAAGTTGATAAGGTACCATCTGCCTTATAGAAATAGATCCAGACCAGCCTGAACATCTGTTTCAGCAATTATGAGTAATTCTGCCATTTGACTTCAAATTTCTCACCCTGGCTTTCAAATTCCACATGGCATCACCGCACCTCAACTTAACTATACTTTCTTCCAAGCACCCTCTACCCCTATAACAAGATCTTGTTTTCTCCATTGAGTGGGCTCTGGTGGAGCGCAAGGAGCCATGGCGCATTCTGGAACTCTGGGCATAGTTCAAACTATCCTTTCTGCTTTTAGAAGCCATTCTTTCCATAAAATCTTCGTCTTCTCTTGCTGTTTTCTATTTGGCACCTGCTGTTTGCAACTACTTCACCTGAGCACTGAGGCTACCTCCTGCACATGAGCAGCACCTCTGAAATTCAAACAGCTATCAATGCGCATTTCCTCACCCCAGATTGGAGATCATACAGTGTGTGTGTAAGTATAATGTTGAATACTGCATGGGAACGGCTACTCTCTTCATTCATGTTCGTTGCAGCGACTGTTCGAGACTTATTCCCTTCTGACATCAAAGACTCAATATCCTGTTGAATAAGAAAAGCATGTTTTTTAAAAATATTCTTCTCTCCCATAGAACTTTTTTCTATTCTGTTTGAGTTTCCTGTTAGCTTAACCTAGGTACAACCAAAGTCAACCAAGGACTTTCATTTCAAATCTTCTTTTGACAGCTCCAAACAGACATGCTCTTTGAAGTGTAATTAGAACGACAAATAATTCATCCCTTGTCTTGTTCCAAGAATAAAACTATTTTCTTGCAAAACAGGGGATACAGTAAAAAAAACACAGAACTGCAGATTATGTTAATCAGAAACAAAATCTGAAATTGCTGGAAAAACCTCAGTAGGTCTGGCAGCAGCTGGACCCCAGAGAATTTGTGGGTAACAAAACCACAAACAATCTATTGTCAGCCACTAACAGTCCTCATTAGCAGCTATTCATTCTCCCAGGATGACCTTTACCCGATCCTTTTGTCTGCTCAACTGTTTTTCTCGCTCTCCACTTACTATTTATTCCTTTCCCCCTACCTCCACTCCACCTTCAATATATCTACCAACCTTTTTCCAGCTACAATCTGTTCTGAAGGGTCACTGGACCCAAAATGTTAACCCTGCTTTCTCTCCACAGATGCTGCCAGACCTGAGGGGGATATAGTACTTGGAATATAAGCTGCACTTAAGAATTTTTGTCACTTTATGTTTAAAGCATCTTGATCTTTGAGGAAACTGGGGAAACTTAGATGGTGGCAGCAAGTCAAGTCTAGACTTAATTTCTTTGCATATTTGGAAAAATTTCATCGACTTTAATGCATTATATTAGAACATACATTATGTGTACAAGCAACAGACCACCACCAACAACCCTGTCACCCAAACACGGAGTCTCTGTTGCTGCACCCTCTTGAGAGTTGTACATTGTAGATTAGAAGCAAACAACAATATATGCCCAAATCAGAAAGATGTGCAACTTGGGACAAAAACTTGGAACAAAAACTTGGAGACTCCCACAATATGCTATTCTTAATTTACTTGGTGGTAGGGAATAGAGGAGAGCAACTGTTATTGAATTAACTTTGGCTTAAGAAAAAAGTAAGATATGAAATTGAAAGGTTCTGCAAATTTCAGTTGTCAAAAATTTTCAACATGCTGAAAATTAAAATAAAAAGTTGGCACTGTTCCCAAGAATATTTACAAACTTGGAAAGCTGTTCAGCCATTTCCTTCAATGAAAATAATAACAAGTAACACCTCAAGCAATTCTGTGTGCACAAAGCAGACTATCATTTTGGCAATAAAATCCAATGCATAAATTTTAAGATTTTAACCATTAAATTTTAAACTGAAGGCACATTAGCAGCTTTGAGTAAAGAGCTAACTTTTTTGTAGCAACTTCAATTGATACCACAAACCAAAACACTGGCTACACCAACCACTTGAAAACCTTACTTCTGTTATATTTTTAGAAGCTGCTACCCACAAGATCGTGTTTTACGCAGTTTGATTAATTATTTTCTTTACCTTGTAACTTGTCACAGCCAGTTTGGATAGACCATCCACATACGGACCTAAAACTTTGTGTTCCCTCACCTTCAAAGTGTGTCGACTCCTACAAAACAAGTGTGCAAAAATGCATAATAAAATAAGTTTTTAAAAATTCAGGTGAGAAACAAGTTGGATCTGTACCTCTGATGTCATATCTGAAACAATATTGAGACTGTAAGCTCTGCATTTTGAGCAGCTCGTGATGCACTTAAAGTGGAACAATGCCCTAATGCTCTTCTTCAATCAAGAAAAAGTTAGGAACTGAAGATCATTCAGGAGATCAAAGTTCTCTGAAACTTTTCTGATTTCATTTTCTTCATTCAACATGTTGAAGCTTCTCTAGACCATTTCTAATGCACAAGTTTAATTGCACATTGGTTAGAATGTAGCAATTGGAATGGCGTGGCTGACCATCGGAAAGGCATGTCCTAGAATATATTCTTTAAAGTTGCTGTATTGCATACATGCTTCTTTTTATTCCATTATGGAATGAATGTGTTGACTTTACTGTCCAACCCTAACTGACCTGGAGATGGTGGAGGAGAGCTGCTTTCTTGAACCTCATTCTGTTGTTGTGCCACATTTTTTCAATTTATATAAAGAATCAGAGAATCTCACCATTCTCATCAGTGCAGGAGGCTCGTTAGCCCATTGTGGCTGACTGGGTACATTTTTTTCGAAACATGATGTTACAGGTAGAAATGAGAAGAAATAAGGTGATTAAAAGACCACATTATTATATCTTATCCATCAGGCACCACACAACCCACTACACTAAGTTTCTTCTAATATCTAGAGAAAAATGTGGCGAAAGACATGATTTGTTTAAGCCACACTCCAGTCAGCATTAAGAGAAGTCATATGTAGTGGTTTGCCTAAGCACCTCCAAGAAAGTAGGTGCTTTGTGATGAGAGACTCCAGAAAGGCAAGACCACAATAGCAGTCAAACATGTAATACCTAACATAGGTCAAAGTCATGTAAATGGGCAATGATGCAGGCTGACAAGCAAACCTAAATTAGAAGATATTGGAAGTGGTCTTTGTAGGCTTTGGATATGAAGCGAGATTAGCAAACATTTCCAGTGCTTTTGCATTTATCAGTATAGAGATATCAGGAATTGAATCAGCTATGCACAGTTGGTTTCTGTACATGAGAGCAGTCAAACATACAATCTGGTCCCAACCTCTCCACAACACTATTCAGTGTATATCAACACATAGAAGAGCCAAAGTAGTAAGTGTATTAGATTTTGTCTCCAACCCTGTGCCTCTGCCTCGGAGCACAGCATAATTAATGTTCCATAAAGAAAAGAATGGTCTGCACTGACCACCTTTCTCAATAAAGTGCTTGATTACTTCTAAATAGTTTTAAAACTTGGAATAATAAAAGCATTAGCAAAAAAATGATGCAATAAAATGTCATTCTGACATGATCTTCGTTTAAAAAAACCGTCAATATATTCAATTGAAATATAGTGAAGGAAACTTTCATTTGTGATTCAAGGGAACACAATTTTTTTTTAAAATTCATCACTGGATGTGGGTGTCACTGCCAGCATTTAATGCCTATTCCTCATGGCCCTCGAGAAGGTGGTGGTGAGCTGCCTTCTTGAACCACTGCAGTCATATAGTTTAGGTAGACTCACAATGACAAAGACAGAAATTTCAGGAGTTTGACTCGGCGACAGTGAAGGAATGGCAGTATATTTCCAAGGCTCAGAAGAGAACTTGCAGTTGCTGGCATTCTCAGGTATCCATTGCCCTGGACCTTCTAGATGGTAGTGGTTCAAGGTTTGCAAGGTACTGTCTCAGGATCTTCAGTGAATTTCTGCAGTGCATCTTGTAGACAGCACACACTGCTATTATTATGCATTAGTGGTGGAGGAAGTAGATGCTTGTGGATGTAGTGCCAATCAAGCAGGCTGCTTTGTCCTGCATGGTTTCAAGCTCGAGTATTGTTGGAGCTGCAGTCATCCAGTCAAGTGTGGAGTATTCCATCACACTCCTGACTTGTGCCTTGTAGATGGTGGACAGGCATTGGGGAGTCAGGAGATGAGTTACTCGCTGCAGGATTCTTAGCCTTTGACCTGCTCTTGAAGTCACTACAGTTATATGGCACATCTAGTAGGTTCTTGTCAATGGCAATCATTCATTGATGGTAACACTATTGAATGGCAAAGGAGGTGGTCATTGCCTGACATTTGAATGGCTCAAATGTTACTTGCCACTTGTCAGTCCAAGCCTGGATATTGTCCACACCTCGTTATATTTGAATATGGACTACTTCAGCATCTGAGGAGTCACAAATTGGGCTGAACATTGAGTGCACTCATTGGCCAACGTCCCCACTTCTGACCTTATGACGGAGGGAAGGTCATTGATGAAGCAGCTGAAGATGGTTGGGCTTCGGACACTACCCTGAGGAACTCCTGCAGAGATGCCCTGGAGCAAAGATGACTGATCTCCAACAATCACGCCCATCTTCCCATGTGTCAGGCATAACTCCAAACAGTGGAGATTTTGCTCCCGATTCCCACTGATTCCAGTTTTGCAAGAATCCTTGATGTCACACTCGGTCGAAAGAAACCTTGATGTCAAGGGCTGTCACTCTCACCACACCTCTGGAATTCAGCTCTTTCGTGCATGTTTCAATCAAGGCTGTACGAAGACCAGGATCTGAGTGGCCCTGGCAGATCCTAAAGTGGGCGTCATTGAGCAGGTGCTGCTTGACAGTACTGTTGACGACACCTTCCATAATTTTATTGACGATTGACAGTAGACTGATGGGACAGTAATTGGCCGGGTTGCATATGTGCTGCTTTCTGCACACAGGATATACCTGGGCAATTTTCCAGATTGCTGTGTGGATGTCAGTGTTGTCACATGACTAGAACAGCTTGGTTAGGAGAGCGCCAAGTTCTTAAGCACAAGTCCTCAGTATTATTACTAATTTATCTTTATATGCTGAAGAAATCATGATAAAAAGTATATCTCAATTGAAATATCAAAGAATGAGACCAAATGAAGTTTAATCCACACAACAAGAAAAATAAATACCGTGAGAGACACACATTGCTCGGTGTAAAGAAACAGAAAATTGCCATGTGGAAGAAATGTCAATGGTAATAGAAAGTTAAAATAGTACAGAAGTACAGAAATGTGGTATATCCACAACTGCTTTGTTTACAGAAAATCTATTTTTGTGCCAAGAAATATAGATGTGTTAATGCACACACAACAAAATTACTTCCACTTCTGGATTTAAGCATGCTTGCTCTGCACTTTTATTTTCTCTCACTTACCCTTTTGGATCAAGGAGGTCCCGGACCTTTTCATTGTATATTTCCATGTATGACACTTCAACAGTGAAGCTTTGTTCCTCATTAGCCTCTTGCAATGCTCGCTCGAACAGTTTGCTGCATAATCGGGGAATCAAACCCGGCTTGTCTTTTGAACCCATCATTGTGTACGATTTCCCTGAGCCTAAACAATAAGGTGTGCACAGATAATTAATAAGGTTTACAACACATCAGAATAAAATCAGTTTCATCTTCCAAACACTGTTGAGAAATAAAGTAGTCTTAAATGAATAGTTGCTTTACAACTAGATTTGCCTTTGTATTTTCATCAGGTCAAGCAACATCGATTTGACAAAAGTAACATCAGATCAAAATGGCCTATAGTAAAAGCCCGCAAGGATTCCTGTAAAATTATATTTAAATCTACTGAAATGGCTTGACTGCATGTTATTTAGCTAGAGCTACATATACCAGCTAAGCTGCTCTGGTAATTATTTGCCTAATATTTTATAAATGGACTTCATTTAAAGAAATACACTATTGAAGCATCTTACCAGTCTGCCCATAAGCAAATATACAAGCATTGTATCCTTGGAATGCATTTTGCAGCAAACTTTCACCAAGACACTTGAACACTATGTCTTGACCTAGAACGAGAAAGAATGGAGGACAGCAAAATTGAAATGTTGTATAGTTACTCAAGATGAAGAAAAATGGAGTGATAAGTAGTAGTAAAAATGTGTATTTAATGAGGTCAACATATTGTAGGACAACTGTAAATCTCAAACTGGTGCTTCTGACAACTCCCAACGGAAATAGACCCAAAAAGTTCCTGCTTTTCTCTCCACAGATCCTGCCCGACCTGTTGCGTTTCTTCAGCAAGTTTGGATGTTATTCTGGATTTCACACCTCCCACCAGCAGTTACACATTGATGAATGCGCATATGGATAGAGGAGGTTACCAGGAGTAGATTCAGCTGCAATGCCACCATCAATCATTGTCCAGGTACACATACAAGTTGCCATTTGGGTGGAGTACAAGCAGACTGCCAGCATCTTCTAAACTATACTCAGTACATGTCAGTGCATCTAAAGAAGCAGAACAGTTGGAACAAAATTTCTGAATGAAGGAAAAAGAACTAGACACTAATGCCTTTTACACCAGCAATTTTACTGTCCTTTTGTGGATGCCAAGGGTCAGAAAAGTGATTAGGGTGTCCAATAGTTCCTACTCAGTATAAACACTCACCAAATAACAAAACCAGATTCAATATTTCATCATACTAGCCTAAGATGCACAAGTACTACAGAGTCTGTGCACGTATATTGTGATTTAAGTAAGACATTGCCACTTATGAATAATTTCAAGTGGATGAAAAGTCACAGACAAGACTTCAACATAATGACGAGACAGCACTCGTTGGTACAACACTCTTGCTTTTCAACTTGCTGTGCCACAAACTTATTAAGTGAAAGCAGCAAGTTCCTGACAAAGAGATTAACAGAGGTGGAGAAGGAGCAAGAGGATGAAGCGCCATGTCGATACAATCTAGAAGGTAAGTAAGCTCCTATTCTGACCAGACACCTCCCAGTACTTGTTCAAAGTCCTCATTTGGTCATTGGCTCACGTTCTCAAATGGTATGGGAGGCAGAAGGACCCAAACAAACAGGAGGGGATGAAAGGATACCTAAAAAGCAGCTTAATACCACAACTACTTTGTGTCTCACAGACAGCATAATAAGGCCCTAAAACTTTATTGTAGATTAAATGTAACATACCTGCATACTTCTCCTTAATGGACTCGTCCATTGACCAAAAGCAGTGATCATATGCAAAAACCTATATACATAAAGGGCAAAAACTCAGTCAGCATTTGTTTCAAATTTGTCTTGGAAGGGAAAAGTACATCTAGAGACTGAAATGAAATGAAATTTAAAATTATATATATATATAGGACTTTAACAAAAATGGCAAATTAAACTAGGTTAATGTTTTAAACAAACAGTATGCATTTCAGTTGGAAGCTGTTACAACTGACAGCTTTCAATCTAAGACTGATAGATCCTACCTGAAATATTAACATAACTCTTGTCTCTCTAGCTGCTTCGACTGTCCTGCTGTACTTTTCAGGGGTTTTTAAATATCAGATTTGTAACATTCACTATTTTAAATTCAAAATTCCCTCCATCTTGGCCACACCCCTCCTCCAATCAGACATTAGCCATGACCAAATTAATACTCATTTTGGTCACTTTGTAATATAGAACTTCATTATTACTGGAAATAAAGAGAGATATACTGTCAAGCTTTTCATCTTGCATTCATCAGAACAGATGCAAAAACACCCAATTTCAAAATGAACATACATTTATACTGATTAAGGAACAGGATGCTAATTAGCTGACAAGTGCACACTGCTTCAAATGCATCAGGGGACAGTCACCCCAAAGCTTTTAGTTGAAAGCTGCACATTTCTTATTGTCTGCTGTTAGAGCGGCACAGTGGTTAGCACTGCTGCCTCACAACACCAGGGACCTGGGTTTGATTCTCACCGTCAGGCTAAGTGGGTTTCCTCTGGGTGCTCTGGTTTCCTCCCTTGATGCAAAGATGAGATGGGCAGGTTAGATGGATTGGCCATGCTAAACTGCCCATAGTGTCCAGGTTAAATGGATTGCATGATAAATGTGGGCTATGGGGATAGGGTAGGGAGGGTGGGGTGCTCTTTGGAGGGTCGGTGCGGACTCAATGGACCAAATGGCCTGCTTCCACACTGTAGGGATTCTATGAGAGAAGAGCCCTGTGTATGAATATGTGCTGTTTCCATTAACTGTAAGTAATCCACATTGCAAACCTGCTTGATAATCTTGAATTGGTTGTTGGTGTAATTCTTGGCACATTCTTAACTGTACAGTGATTGCTGCCTAATCTCAACATCTAATTGTTTTGTATTTTGAGAGCATAGGCAGGCTGAGCACAATCTGTACCCAGTCTGTTGTAAATAACAAAAGGGATTTGCTGACACAATCCATCAGTCAAAGGGACATATGATCCACATGGTTGGCATCACATCGGCATTGATATTCATGCACTACATTGCTGATTTGTGAGGTGACCAGAAAGTCTTTTGGGCTTGACAGTAACATCCTGTTAGTGAATATTTAAGGAGGCATTTAGCATGCTTGCCTTCATTGCTCAGATCTTTGTGTATAGGAGTAGGACATTATGTTGAGGTTGTTAGCAAAGCCTCTTCTGGAGTATTGTGTCCAGTTCTGGTTTCCCCGTTATAAGAAGGACACTATTAAGCTGGAGAGGGTTCAGTAGAGATTTAGCAGGAAGTTACCAGGAATGGAGGGTTTGAATTATAAGGAGAGGATAGAAGGCTGGGACTTCTCTCACTGGAGCGTAAGAGGTTAAGAGGTGACCTTGTAGAGGTTTATAAAATAATGAAGGGTATAGATAAAGTGAAGGACAGGTGTCTTTTTCCTAGAATGGGTCATTTCAAGATTAGGACATTTTTTAAGGCAAGAGCAAAAAAATTTAAAAAAGACATAAGGGGCAATTTTCTTACACAGAAAGTGGTTCAGGTGTGGAATGAACTGCCAGAGGAAGTGGTGGATGCACTTAAGGTTACAATATCTATAAGACATTTAGATAAGTACATGAATAAGAAATGCCTCAACGAATATGAGTCAAGCACAAGCAAGTGGGACTAGTTTAGTTTGGAATTATGATCGGCATGGACTGGTTGGACCAAAGAGTCTGTTTCCATGCTGTATGACTGACTCTATAATATTGCTTGTATTGCTACCACACAGCAGGCATGTGAAATGACTAGCTTCACCTCTTTCAAACTTTTAAGACACTTTAACTTTCATGAGTAATTTGAGTTTGAGGCATATCATTTTTCCAGCAATTATCAACTTTGTGGACAATAGGGAAATTGAAAAGCATCTCAACTACATTTACCATGGTCTGATCATTTTACTAAGAGGAGTCTGATCCAGCTATTAATACAAGGTCAGCTCATAAAAAACATACATTGGAATCCTCAAATAGGTTAGAAATTCAAGCGTAATCTACGTTGTACTAATTATTGTCACCTTAGAGCAGACAAACTTTGAAATTCACTAGTGCTTATTCGCTAGATGCCTAGCCAAAGAATTTGATGTCACAATTATGAAGGAATAAGCAATGTGTAAGTAAAATATTAACAAAATTTAGCATAATGTGCACAAATGGAACATGAAATTTTCTATATAAACTCTAACACTATATGTCTTGTTGTAAAAATTAATAAAACTTCAGGTCTATTTCATAAAACTGAAATAGAATTTTCTCTCCTGCGTTGTTTAATATAAGTTTCAACCTAAAGTGATGTCATGATAACGCCAGAGAAATAACTATTTAGTTTAGAAAAACTAGGATAGCTATATGTAAATACGAGGTGATAGTTTAATAATTGGATGCAGGCATTCAGCGTCAAATTCATTATTCTACACTCCACTTCTCATAGTAGTCCCGTAGTACTGCATTCAGTTGGAAACAGGCTTGAAATAACAGCCATAACACTCCAACACCAAAATATTCAATTTTTTTGTTGCTGTTCATGATGTAGGTGCCAATGATTTTTATTATCCATCCTAATTTGCTTTAAGGTGGGCATGACTTGTCACCTTGTAGAACTAGAGAGTGTCATTACATCCAACAATGCTTGGATCTTAGAGTTCCAGAATTTAGACCCAGCAATAATGCACGCATGATACATTATGTCCAAGTCAGGATGGTGTATGACTTAGAGGAAAACTTGGAGGTGATGGGTAACCACTTGCTCACCTTGTCCTTCTAAGTGGTGAAGATCATGAGTTTGCAAGATCTTAGAGATTTGCTGCAGTACATCTACAGATAGCACAAGCTGCAGCCATATATACTGGCAATGAAAGGAGTGGATATTTAAGATGCTGGATTAACTGCTGATTAAGCAGACTGTTTTGATTTGGATGACACTCCACTTCTTTAGTATTGTTTCAGCTGCAGCCATCCAGATAAGTGAGACATATTCCATAAGATTTTTAATGTTTTGTCTTGGTGGTGGAAAGAATCGAACCTCAACATTGACAGTTTGCACTGAACTGCACTGATTCTTCTTCAAAAGGCAGTATATAAAAGTTCAAACCTGTATCACTCCACTGTCTCTACTAACACTGAGCGGAAAAGAAACAAATTCAAAACATACCTTTGGCTGGCTCCTGTTGTTAAATGACATCCAGATTTTCAAACGAAAGTACCCAGAAGAAAAGAAAAATGAAAAAGAGACTTCGATTACATTTGTTCAAAAATTAGCTTGAAATTATAGAATAAAAACAGAGCACATAAGCAACTGAAAGGCTTTCAGTTCAATGGCAATAATGCTCTGAAGCAGATCACAAGGGAGTCATGCAATAGAATAAAAATTGTTATTTCTAGCAACACATTCAGCAGAACTGTTAAATTAAATGGTGTCAGATCAGTCACAAAACAATTTTTTTTTCCTCTATTCGTTAATGGGATGAGGACATCGCTGGCTAGGCAGCATTTATTGTCCATCCCTAATTGCCCAGAGGGCAGTCCAGATTTAACCACATTGCAGTGGGTCTGGAGTCACATGAAAGCCAGACCAGGAAAGGATGGCAGTTTACTTCCCTAAAGGACATTAGTGAACCAGAGATAGTAGGAACTACAGATGCTGGAGAATCCGAGACAACAAGGTGCAGAGCTGGATGAACACAGCAGGCCAAGCAGCATCATAGGAGCAAAACGGCTGACGTTTCGGGCCGAGACCCTTCATCAGAAATGGTGGAGGGGAAGGGGGTTCTGAAATAAATAGGGAGAGAGGGGGAGGCGGATAGAAGATGGATAGAGGAGAAGATAGGTGGAGAGGAGACAGACAGGTCAAAGAGGCGGGGATGGAGCCAGTAGAGGTGAGTGTAGGTGGAGAGTTAGGGAGGGGATAGGTCAGGCCAGGGAGGACAGACAGGTCAAGGGGGCAGGATGAGGTTAGTAGGTAGGAGATGATGGGGATGCAGCTTGAGGTGGGAGGAGGGGATAAGTGGGAGGAAGAACAGGTTAGGGAGGCGGGGACGAGCTGGGCTGGTTTTGGGATGCGTGGAGCGGACAAGGGAGTCACGGAGAGAGTGGTCCCTCCGGAAAGCAGATAAGGGTGGGGAGGGAAAGATGTCTTTGGTGGTGGGATCAGATTGCAGATGGCGGAAGTGTTGGAGGATTTATGCATTGGATCCGGAGGTTGGTGGGGTAGTACGTGAGGACGAGGGGGATTCTTTTTTGGTTGTTATTGCGGGGACGGGGTGTGAGGGATGAATTGCGGGAAATGTGGGAGACACGGTTGAGGGCGTTCTCGACCGCTGAGGCGGAGGGGGGGGAAGTTGCGGTCCTTGAAAAACGAGGACATCTGAGATGTACGGGAGTGGAATGCCTCATCCTGGGAGCAGATGCGGTGGAGGCGAAGGAATTGGGAATAGGAGATGGCATTTTTGCAGGAAGGTGGGTGGGAGGAGGTGTATTCTAGGTAGCTGTGGGAGTCGGTGGGCTTGAAATGGATATCGGTTTCTAAGTGGTTGCCTGAGATGGAGACAGAGAGGTCCAGGAAGGAGAGAGAGGTATTAGAGATGGTCCAGGTGAACTTAAGGTTGAGGTGGAAGGTGTTGGTGAAGTGGATGAACTGTTCGAGCTCCACGTGGGAGCACAAGGCGGCACCGATACAGTCATCAATGTAACGGAGGAAGAGGTGGGGTTTAGGGCCAGTGTAGGCACAGAAGAGGGATTGTTCCACGTAACCTACAAAGAGGCAGGCATTGCTTGGGCCCATGCGGGTACCCGTGGCCACCCCCTTTGTCTGTAGGAAGTGGGAGGAATTGAAAGAGAAGTTGTTGAGGGTGAGGACAAGTTCGGCTAAGTGGATGAGGGTGTCAGTGGAGGGGGATTGGTCGGGCCTGCGGGACAGGAAGAAGCAGAGGGCCTTTAGGCCATCTGTATGGGGAGTGCAGGTGTATAGGGACTGGACGTCCATGGTAAAGATGAGGTGTCGGGGACCGGAGAATTGGAAGTTCTGGAGGAGGTGGAGGGCGTGGGTGGTGTCACGGACATAGGTAGGGAGTTCCTGGACCAAGGGGAAGAAAATGGAGTCCAGATAGTTGGAGCTAAGTTCGGTGGGGCAGGAGCAGGCGGAGACAATGGGTCGACCAGGGCATTCAGGTTTGTGGATTTTGGGAAGGAGATAGAAGCGAGCGGTGCGGGGTTGGGGAACGATGAGGTTGGAGGCTGTGGGTGGGAGGTCACCTGAGGTGATGAGGTTGTGGATGGTTTGGGAGATGATGGTTTGGTGCTTGGGGGTGGGGTCATGATCAAGGGGGCGATAGGAGGTGGTGTCGGAGAGTTGGCGTCTGGCCTCGGCGATGTAGAGGTTAGTGTGCCATACTACAACTGCGCCTCCCTTGTCTGCGGGTTTTATGGTGAGGTTAGGATTGGAGCGGAGGGCTGCACGTTCTGCGGGGGAGAGGTTGGAGTGGGTGAGAGGGGTGGAGAGGTTGAGGCGATTGATGTCTTGACGGCAGTTGGAGATGAAGAGGTCAAGGGAGGGCAGGAGGCGGGGGTGTGTTGGAGGCAGGAGAAGGGGTCAGTAGAGGGAGGGTCAGGTTCACGGTTGAAGAAGTAAGCGTGGAGGCGGAGGCGGAGGCGGAAAAACTGCTCTATGTCCAAACAGGACCGGTATTCGTTGATGTGTGGGTGGAGGGGGACAAAGGTGAGCCCTTGACTGAGGACTGACCATTCGTCCTCAGTCAGGGGGAGGTCTGGGGGGATGGTGAAGACTCGGCAGGGCTGGGTGCTATTGTGCCCTCTGGAGCTGCTGGCTGTGGAGGCTGTGAGCGGAGCGACATCAGCGTCGGCTGTGGGCGGAGTTGTGTTGGTGTCGGCGGTGGGCGGAGCGGCGTCAGCGGTGGGGGGAGCAGGTTAGGCGGGGGCAGCAGCGGTGACGGTAAGCGAGTCTTCAGTGTCTGTGGCGTTGGTCTCGGAAATGGAGGCGGTGGCATCGGCAGCGATGGTGTTCGCTGTCCCGGAAGTGGGGTACCCGGCGGTGGCGGATGTGACGTCATCTGTGGGTTCTCCGACAGTGGCCTCACGGCCAATGGCAGCGGGCATATTGTGGGGAAGGTCCTGGGTAGGGTTGGGGATTTGGGGGGTGGAGGAAGGATTGTCTCCGCCTGCTCCTGCCCCACCGAACTTATCTCCAACTATCTCGACTCCATTTTCTCCCCCTTGGTCCAGGAACTCCCTACCTACGTCCGTGACACCACCCACGCCCTCCACCTCCTCCAGAACTTCCAATTCCCCGGTCCCCGACACCTCATCTTTACCATGGACGTCCAGTCCCTATACACCTGCATTCCCCATACAGATGGCCTAAAGGCCCTCCGCTTCTTCCTGTCCCGCAGGCCCGACCAATCCCCCTCCACTGACACCCTCATCCGCTTAGCCGAACTCGTCCTCACTCTCAACAACTTCCCTTTCAATTCCTCCCACTTCCTACAGACAAAGGGGGTGGCCATGGGTACCCGCATGGGCCCAAGCTATGCCTGCCTCTTTGTAGGTTACGTGGAACAATCCCTCTTCTGTGCCCACACTGGCCCTAAACCCCACCTCTTCCTCCGTTACATTGATGACTGTATCGGTGCCGCCTCATGCTCCCACGTGGAGCTCGAACAGTTCATCCACTTCACCAACACCTTCCACCTCAACCTTAAGTTCACCTGGACCATCTCTAATACCTCGAGAACGCCCTCAACTGTGTCTCCCACATTTCCCGCAACTCATCCCTCACACCCCATCCACGCAATAACAACCAAAAAAGAATCCCCCTCGTCCTCACGTACCACCCCACCAACCTCTGGATCCAACGCATCAGCCTCCGACACTTCCACCATCTGCAATCCGACCCCACCACCAAAGACATTTTTCCCTCCCCACCCTTATCTGCTTTCCGGAGGGACCACTCTCTCCGTGACTCCCTTGTCCGCTCCACACTCCCCTCCAGCCCCACCACACCCGGCACTTTTCCCTGCAACTGCAGGAAGTGCTACACCTGTCCCTACACCACCTCCCTCACCCCCATCCCAGGCCCCAAGAAGACTTTCCACATCAAGCAGATGTTCACCTGCACATCTGCTAATGTGGTATACTGCATCCGCTGTACCCGTTGTGGCCTCCTCTACATCGGAGAAACCAAGCGGAGGCTCGGGGACCGCTTTGCAGAACACCTATGCTCGGTTCGCAACGAACAACTGCACCTCCCAGTCGTGAACCATTTCAACTCCCCCTCCCATTCCTCAGATGACATGTCCATCCTGGGCCTCCTGCAGTGCCACAACGATGCCACCCGAAGGTTGCAGGAACAGCAACTCATATTCCGCTCGGGAACCCTGCAGCCCAATGGTATCAATGTGGATTTCACAAGCCTCAAAATCTCCCCTCCCCCTACCGCATCCCAAAACCAGCCCAGCTCGTCCCCGCCTCCCTAACCTGTTCTTCCTCCCACTTATCCCCTCCTCCCACCTCAAGCCGCATCCCCATCATCTCCTACCTACTAACCTCATCCCGCCCCCTTGACCTGTCCGTCCTCCCTGGACTGACCTATCTCCTCCCACCTCCCCACCTACACTCACCTCTACTGGCTCCATCCCCGCCTCTTTGACCTGTCTGTTTCCTCTCCACCTATCTTCTCCTCTATCCATCTTCTATCCGCCTCCCCCTCTCTCCCTATTTATTTCAGAAACCCCTTCCCCTCCCCCATTTCTGATGAAGGGTCTAGGCCCGAAACATCAGCCGTTTTGCTCCTATGATGCTGCTTGGCCTGCTGTGTTCATCCAGCTCTGCACCTTATTAGTGAACCAGATGTGTTTTTCCAACAATCGACAATGGATTCATAGTCATCATTAGACTCTTAATTCCAGATATTTATTGAATTCAAATTCCATCATCTGCTGTGGCGGGATTTGAACCCGGATCCCCAGAATGTTATCTGGGTCTCTGGATTAACAGTCCAGCGATAATACCAATAGGCCATCGCCTCCGCTTTAATGAAAAATACATTATGTGACTGACATTAAGGGCAAAGTTTAAGCTAAAACCTGTCATTTCAATTCTACTCCCACTCCCACTCCCACCCCCACTCCCCTGCCCCAAAAGAAAGCAGGAC